GCCCTGATCTATCCCCTGCCTCTCAACTTTTCTATCAAGCCACACACCATCCTATTTCACTGTTCTTTAAATGTCACTGGATCAAATTCCTGGAATTCCCTGACAGCATTGTGGTCTACATGCCCGAAATGAACTGTGTAGCATTTCAAGAAAGCAGCTCGCCACCACTTTCTTGAGAGTAATTGGGAACAGATAATAAAATAAATCAATGACGATTTATTAATAATGATTCATTGTCACTTGTACTCTGCAAAGAACAACACAGTAAAATACATTGAAAAGCTTGAACTGTTGTGACAATCAGTGCCATTTTGAATAGATTAAGAATAAAAAGATGTAGCTGAAAAAGAGTCTGTCTTCGTTCTGCTGACCAGAGCTGGCTCACCAATGACATCTGTGCTGCCTGTACGAATCCCTGCCACCTGCGCCAAATCCCACCAACATCAGAGTTGTCATTCTTCAGGCGCCATCACTTTGTCATCGGGCCCACCTTGCCAATGGGGTGCCACTGGCAGGTCCCGTGCTGGACCTACACTCGCTCCGTAATCAGGAGCCCCCAGCTCTGCTGCTACTGCTACTTTGCCAATAACCAGCAGTCCCCATTCAAGGCCTACCACAACCAGGAATCCCTGGTCCCACTTCAGCAGCTGTCTCGCTGATGCCTGGAGTCCCCACTCCAGACTTGCCACAACCAGGAGTCCCTGACCTGCTGCCAGGCCAGGCTGTTGCCCCACCAAGAGTCCCGCTCTAGCCACCCTCCTCCACGTTGTCTGCCGTTGCTGACTGAAACAAGATGAACAAAAAAAAAGTCAAAAAGGGTAAGGAAAGAAAGGAGAAAGCAGCTGGTCTGGAGCAGACAGGACCAGGAGCCCGAACACTGCCTATCTTGCTATCTTATTTTGACTTACTCCTCTGATGCAAAGTCCTGTGATTTTATTTTTTTTTATTTTTAATTCTGGCCATATCTACATGCACTGTACGTCTTTCTTTATCTTTAGTGTGGGAAACTGATTGAACATACTGTCGATTTGCACCACAAAGATGTGGTGTGACACAGATTTGTGATTCTGGTGCAGATTCACCACAATATTTTACAAAATTCTCCCTCTATAATCTGGGATGTCAAAAAACAAAACAAGAAATGGGTTATACCAAACTGGGGCATGCCTCTGTCCTCTTATGTCTGTCCACATGGTTGTATTTTAAGGGCATGTGTAAAACTTTTTCTGAACCCTTTTCTCATCTATTGTTGTGAGAATATCTGCACAGAAGATGTTTTGTTATGCGTTCACAGCTGGAAAGAGGTTTTTTTTATTATCAGTGAAAAAGATATAGTGACTAGAATCATAGAATCACTACAGGGCAGAAAGAATCCATTCAGCGCATTGAGTCTGTACCAACCCTCCAAACAGCATCCCACCCAGACTCAGGCCCCTAATGGCCAATCCCACCTAACCTGCACATCTTTGGACTGTAGAAGGAAACTGGAGTTTCTGGTGGAAACCCATGCAGACACACGGAGAACGTACAACTCCACACAGTCACTCGAGGCTGGAATTGAACCTGGGTCTCTTCTGGCACTGTGGGGCAGCAGTGCCAACCACTGAACCACCATGCTGTCCTTCAAAGTGACTCTGAAACATTAAAGCAAAATAGACATCAATAAATGTGAAGAACTTGCTGAAGATGACAAATCCTGATAACGGCCTCTTTGTGAGAGCACCTCATACCGTCAGATTCCTCACATTGCTGAGGAACCTCTGAGGAATAGGTGAGGAATTCTCGGTTTGAAATTCAAGATTGCAGACCCAGTGTACATGGGAGGCACTATTCAGTCTCCAACAAAGATTTCAATGTCTTCACAGAATTCACTGCAGAAAATGAGGTGATGTTCTGATTATTTTCTTTGATTTGCCAGGATGAGTGATGAGCATTTAGAATATCCTGAGGACACACAAAATGCTTTATGAATATAGTTTTTTTTCCAAGCAGCTTTGCTGAGCGTTATGGACAACAGAGCTCCCTCAAGTGATAAGCAGGTGGAAATGCAGTGTTTGAACTTATTTTAAACCCATGGGTTCTGTAGTATCTAATAATACTAAGTTCGCAGTGACAGCCATAATGTATATCTTGATTGTCAAATTCAATTAATCCTTTTACAATACATTTTCTTCGACAGCACCTTCCAAACCTGTGACCTTTACCACCTATAAAGACAAGGACAACAGATACATGGGAACACCACCACCTGCAAGTTTCCCTCCAAGCCACGTACCACCCTGACTTGGAACTATATTGCCATTTCTTCAGTGTTGCCACATCAAAAATCCTGGAACTCTGCCCCACCACCAGCACCAAAAACAGCATTGTGGATATCTCTACATCACATGGACTGCAGCTGTTCAAAAAGACAGCTCACCATCACTTTTCTGTCAAGGGGTAGACAATGACATCCTTCTCCCACTTTTAAATTCTTCTCCAGCCCTGAGCAAACGTCCCAAAACCTGGCACCAAGCTTGCAATACAACCGTCTGGAGTCTTGCTCTTCTCTGCAGAGAACAGTGTCGATTCTTCTCGCTGCACTATCCCCTACTTCCACTCCATTTTTATTGCTCCCCTCAGTTGAATGGCATCCAGTACCACAATACCGTGATCCGTTACCTCATCTGCCCTCATGGTCCTCCAGACAGGCTGAAAAGTCCTGAAATCTGTTGGACAACCACTTGACCCTATGACTGATCAAATCAGAAAACCATTCCAAATGGGCGTGACTGTCTTTTTGTACAAATACTCCAAATAACTATTCCTCCACCCGAATGTGTCAGCAACACCATCACGACGGATTCTGCCCTGATGTGTTTCACAAAGGCAACTAGTGATGTGTAATGTGTGCTGATTTTGATTTTTCTTTTAAGAACTGCATGGTCACCAGAAGTGGAATTGGTTTTGTATTTGAAATTTTCAACTCTTCAAACCATGACAGTTGAGGCCAGTTTGTTGCTTTCCTGCTACTGACCATGCTGAGAGCAGAATAGACCATGAGTTGGGTGTGGATCTTAAACCTGGTTACTCACAAGAATGGCTTTCTTTTTCCCCTTCCATTAGATTGGAGCATGACGCTGATTAAAGGAACTTTCACATACTCCAGTGGTGAGGAGTATCACGGGGAGTGGAAAGAGGGTGAGTCACTTTTTCTTACTCTGCTATCGTACAGCCTACAAGGTGTGACAGAGGCTATTTATCCAGATTCGGTGGATAATTCCCTGTTATGTTACTCAGGTCCCAGGGATGTTGACACGTGTACAATACCTTTTTTAATTGGTAAATGATCTGAGATGCATCAGGGGTTAAAAGGAGCGAGTGAATTCTGAAAATATAGCAAGACGGTCAAAGATTAGGGGTGTTGTGAGGGTGCTGCTGAGGGGTTTGGCTGTAGGGAGAGGGTTTATGTGGCAAATGCACAAAACCCCAGTCAAATGACCAGAAGACATGGGATCAGGGATAGGATTAGAGGAAATTACAGGACTGAGATAAAAGATCAAAGGCAGGCAACTGGGACTATTTTTTAGTTTGGGAACTTGGTCGGCATGGACTGTTTGGATCGAAGGGTCTATTTCCATGCTATATGAATCAATAAGGAAAATTAAGTATGGCCATGTTGAAGTTGCAGACTTGCGTAATGCCTTTCAAATCTACCTAACCTGCACATCTTTGGACTGTAGGAGGAATCCGGAGCACCTGATGGAAACCCACACAGACACACGAAGAACATGCAACTCCACACTGTCACTTAAGCTAATCAAGTACTTTCCAAAATCTCCTACCAACTTTTGCAGTGTAGGAAACTTGGCAGTCAGTATTTGCATAGGAAGCTCCCATAAACTCGAGTGAGATAGATAAATGGGTAACCTGTTTCAGTTAAGTTGTTTTGAGGGTTGGCCAGGACAATGGGGAGAACTCACCTGCTCTTCAAAAATTGTTTCTGAAAGGACAAATGGTGTCTCAGGTTTACATCTTGTGTAAGTGCAAAGCTTCCTCAGCATACCGGAGTGTCTGAGCTACAACCGACATATAGGGATGCGACAAGGGTTGTAACTCCATTTGTATAATGTGCATTGCATTGTGACATTTCAACACAATTCACCTTGAGCCACTGCAGTATAGTAGGTCATGTCCATAGTTATACCCTAAATGGTGCAACTTTGACTGATCTACTGTACAAATGTTGAATAGGCTTTTTGATAATACATCAGTAAAGGATGGAAACTATCTGAGATGGAGAATTTGGATAATTCTAAGGGGGGATGCAAGGAAAAATAATTTCACCCAAAGGTTTGTGGGAATCTGGAACTCACTGCCTGTAAGGATGGGAGAGGGAAAAACCAACATAATGCTTAAGAAGTATTTAGATGTGAACTTGTGATGCTGAAGCATGAAAGGCTATGGGTCAAGTACTGAAAAATGAGACTAAAATAGTTTGCTGCTTGCTTTTGATTGATACAGAGGGCCAAACAGCCTTTTTCTATGCTGTAGACCTCTATGACTCTGACTGCAACTACTACATCAATTGCATTTATATAGCACCATAATTAAATTTCCAGAGTTCTTCAAAGGAACATTATGAAACAAAATTTGATATTCAACCACTTCTAATGCTGGAACCTATGACCAAGAACTTGGTCTATGAATTGGGTTTTAAGGAGGATCTTCATTGGATAGGTGAGACATAGGATGGAATTCCATATTTGGGAGTTAGGCAACTGAAGGCATGGCCTTCAGTAGTGGAGCAATGAAAATCAGAATTGGAGGAGAGGAGAGATCTTGTGAAATACTTTGCATGCCACATTTACCTCATTCATCCATCCATTCTTAGGAAGGGTCACTCTACCTGGAATGTTAATTCTGATTTCTCTTCACAGGTGCTGCCAGGCCCTGCTGAGCTTTTCCAGCAATTTCTGTTTTTGTAAGACTATATGATTGGACAATTTTCCATACATAGGGGTGAGGCCTAGAAGCGTTTTGAGCCTGAGGTTAAGTTTAAAATCAAGGTATTGTTTAACCAAACACCACTGCGAGTCAACAAGCACAGGAATGATGAATGGATGAATAAGATATGTGTGGCATGCAAAGTATACCAGCACAATATTGATCTATATTTGCTTAAGTTCTTCTTTTCCCATCCTGCACAGTGATTGATCCCATTTGGTGAAATGCGTCTCCCAGCAATAACTAGGTTATTGTGGAGAGGCAAGGGACATTGTTTGTGGGCTCTCGTGTTCGGCTGCCACCATTGACTATCTTTGCTTGCCATTTCCTCCCTTGGCCCATCTTCTTTCCTGAAGGCTCTTATATCTGGATGTAACTGCTGTAGGCATGAAGAACACCCTTCAGTAATTCAGCCAAATGTATCAGCATGAAGCTGAACAGCTGGCATTAGGACATAATCTGCACTGAGGTGCGTCTTAGCCAACGTTTCAACATGATTCACTTGTCCATAGTCTTCTAGGTGATAGAGGGCACAGGCTGGGAAGGTGGTACAGAAGCCTTGGAAAGTTGCTGCAGAGCTGTCTTGGATGTGGTACACACTGCTGCATTGGACATCAGGGTTGGTGAGTGAATATTTAAGGTGTTGGATTCAACGTCAATCAAATGGTCTGCTTTGGCATGGTCAATGTCAACCTCCTTGAGTGCTGTTGCAGCTGCACCTATCCAAACAAGAGTATTCCATCACATTACTGATGGGCTATGGACAGCCTGTTGAGGTCATTGTGGTACGTACCAAATGCTGTCCCACTTAAGGTCAGCACTCAAAACGTTTGAAGCTGGTGAGATCCAGGCACGGCTGTTCACCCCATTAATTGCCCAGCGAGTGTCGACTGAACTGTCATTTACACTGTAACCTTGACCCTTCTATTCTATCAGGTCGCCGGCACGGGATCGGGCAGCTGAGGTTTGCAGATGGCAGCAGCTACGTGGGCCAGTTTGAAAATGGCCTGTTCAGTGGCCGTGGAACACTGGTCTTCTCTGACGGCTCAAGGTAAGCTAGAGTCCAATTATAGATCATGTCCCTGTCCTTTAGGCAGCACGGTCCAGGCAGAAGACTCAGAAAACACAGTTGGCTTCCTGGCTGTGCCAGCAAATGTCAAGTAATAAATTAATTAGCTTGAATTTATACACCACCTTTCATAACCTCAGGAAGTCCAAAAGCAATTTACAGCAAATAAAATACCTTTTCAAGTATAGTTGTTGGAATGTAGGAATGGTGGAAGCTAATTTGAGCATATCAGGATCCCACAAATACAAAGTGATGATGATGAGATCATCTATTTTTAACTGTTGGTTGTGGGATAAATTACATGCAGAACTCTGCTGCTGCTCTTCAAGCTCTTTATAGGATCTTTTATATGCACATGAGTGAGCCTCATTGGAAAGGTGGATTATTTCTGTAATTTAGTTATGCCCCTGTAATTTATGGTTATTTCATCAGAAGCTGTCTAGAGCTAGCCAGTGTTTGTTTAGGATAAACATTGTTGCAATACCTGACAAGACTACCAAATTAACATTATGATCTGACCAGATACAATAACTTTGTCTTTCTTAATATTAAAGCAAGAGATCCAAGGTCCTTAATGAAGAGAATAAACATAAACATGGAACAGTACAGCACAGGAACAAAGCTTTTGGCTCACCACGTCTGTGCTGACCATGATGCCTTTCTAAACTAATCCCATTTGTCTCCACATGGTTTGTGTCCCTCTAATCCCTGCCTGTTTGTGTCTGTCTATGTCTTTCTTAAACGTTGCTATTGTATCTGCTTCTACCACCTCCCCTGGCAATGCTTTCCATTCACCTACCACCCTCTGCGTTTAAAACAAAACTTATTTTGTACATCTCCTTTAAACTTTCTGCATCTCATCTTAAACATGTTCCCCCTATTAATTGACAGTTTGACCCTGGAAAAAAGACTCCGACTATTCATTCTATCGGTGCCTCTCATAATTTTATATACTTCTATTAGGTTGCCCTTCAGCGTCCAATGCTGTAGCAAAAAAAAATCCAAGTTGTCCAACCTTTTGTTATAGCTAATACATTCCAATCCAGGCAACGTCCTGGTAAGTCTCTTTTGCACCCTCTCCAATACCTCCAAATCCTTCCTATAGTTTGATGACCAGAACTGCACACAATACTCCAAATGTTGCCTAACTGAAGTTTTATACAGCTGCAACATAACTTATCAACTTTTATACTCAATTCCCTGACCAATGAAGGCAAACATGTCATTACAACTTCTTTTCCATCTTATTTACTTAGCTGCCACCTTTTCAGGGACCCGTGGACTTGCATCCCAAGATCTCTCTGTGTATCAATCCTTTTAAGGGTCTTGCCATTAACTGTATGCTTTCCTCTTGCATTTGACCTCCCAAAATGCATCACCTAATACTTGTCTACATTAAACAGCATCTGCCATTTCTTTGCCCAACTATATCCTATTGTATCCTTTTGACAATCTTCCTCACTGTCCACAACTCCACCAGTCTTTGTACCATCTGCAAATTTACTACTCAGACCACCTACATTTTCATTCAAATCCCAAATAACAAAGGTCCCAGCACTGGTCCTTATGGAACACCCATAGCCTTCAGGACTTTTCCTGAGGTGCAACTCCAACAATTAGCTGCCTAGTAATTGTTAAAATTCTTCACCTTTTAAAACAGAGCCATTCAACTGCTTTTGACTTCACACTGTGTCCCTTAGAACCCACGTGGTTCTGTTTGCTTCCCAGCAGTACCAGAGATCAAAATTAATATTTCTCTTTCAAGAGGTATTCTTGAGATTTTCTGAAGGACTATTTCTTAATTTTCAGGGACGAGCTTTTAGTTTTTGGGGCTTTTTTAAATTCTGTCTAAGTCATTTATAGATGATGTTATCACGTAGTAACAATACCTTCTGCATTTGTGTTAACACATTTAGACTCTTTCAAGCAGAATTAAATTAATTTATCAACTCTCCATTAAATTTAAAGCTACAACACACAAGGAAATCATTAATTTTCTGAACTCCACACTATTTCAATTGGTCCAAGGTATCAGGTTTAAGTTAACAAACGTTATTTTTTTCAAAATAACTGTGGCACTTCAACACATGAAAATCCATCATCCTAAGCATCCTTTCTACAGAATGTTAAGGGCACAGCTACTGCACATAGCTGGAACATTTTAGTCAGTCAGTTACTGTATCTCCGTTTTCAGTTTCAGATTTAAATTTAATAATTCAGTGTTCATTACAATAGGATCTGTTACACATTTTTTCCAAAGTATCGTAAGAAAAAAATGTTTTTCCAAACATATTTGAATTTAAGCTGCCCTAAACTTGAGATTCTATATTGCCGTGCAAAGAAGTCATTATCTTGGTGATCTTAAAGCTTCCTTGGATCCAGTTAGTTTAGTATTCCTCTCACAGTTTTAAAACCATCCTGTCTCTCCATTGCAGCTTCTTTCTCTCCCCACATATCCCTCTTGTAGCTGCCTCCTGCTTCAACCTATTCCCTCCTCTGGCTGACCCTAGCCCCCACCTTTATCCAAAGCAGACAGAAGGCCACCCTGGCAAAAATCCCTGCATCCTAGCTAATGTCAGCTCTCAACTTTTTTGTCCTGCCGCAGCAACTCTGTATGGCTCCAGTTCTCACCCACGCAGACCTCTGTTCTTGGCTTCTGATGTAGGGTGCTTCCTGATGCCTCACTCAGTAACTTCCCAAACTGCTCACCACTCCTCCAATCACAAGGTTTGCTGTTGGTAAGATCAAAATGACTAGTGAACCTGTCGGTACAAGCACTGAAGAGACCCTGCTGTTATTAGAGAGGCACATCCTCACCATTTCATTGTGCTCAATATACAGGAGAAATATTTCACTGAGTGAGTGAATTTCTCCAGGCAATTTGGGGAGTAATCCCTGCATCGAACTGTGTATGTTTGGTGTTTAGCTGTACGGTAAAAGTAACACTGCCTAACCAACCTACCTACCTCTCTCTCTCTCCCTCGCTCATACTCGCTGTAACCTCTTCAATGAACCCCAAACTGACCTGAGTGACCTATTGAACATCCTGCACTAAGTCCTTCCCATGTTGCTGGATAGATTAGAATGTGGACACCTAGCAACTCTTGGGACTGATTGTGCTGTGAATGTTACAATTCGGATTGTTGGCTTCTGAACTTAATTCTTTTTGGAAGCACTTTTTTTAATAACAACATCTCTGTAGTGTTCAAAGTGAGTTGGTATTCCCTTTCGTGCCTCCATCAGTAATGGGTAGTCCATCTAACTGCTAAGGTAACAATTGGCTGTGTCTGTGTTGTTGTTCCCCCTATTGCCAGTAGGTGCTGCTGCACTGTATAGTATAGTTTTGAACAGTAAGTGCATCCTGTGTGCTGGGCTCTATTTGGGCTCAAATTTTGCATCAGTTATCTTCCAGTGGCATCAAGATGGACTTGCTTTTATATAGCACTTGACATTACCTCTGTCCTAAGTGCCTTATAGCTATTTCTGAGTCATGGAAACTGTATAGGAAATCCAGCAGCACATTTGTGCACCACAAACCCCCACAAAACAATAAGCATACAACCAGACCAGTGGTGTTGTTTGACCGTGATAGTTGGAAGATCTTCTGAATAGCAAACTAAAGCCCAATCTGGTAAGCATGGGAAGACAATGGCATAGTGGTTTTGTCGCTGGAATAGTAATCCAGAAACCCAGCTAATTTTCTGGTTTCAAGTGGTGACCTCACTTCAAATCCCACCATGGCAGCTAGTGGAATTTGAACTGAATAAAAATCTGGAATTAAATGTCTAATAATGACTATGTAACTGTTGTCAATGTGGTAAAAACCCAGCTGGCTCACTAATGTCCTCTGAGGGAAAGAAAACTGCTGGTCCGGCCTCCATGTGACTCCAGACCCATGACAATGTAGTTGACTCTTAAATGCCCTCAAACAACTTAGCAAGGCTCTCGATTCAAGGGCAACTAGATATGGCCGATAAATGCTGGCCCAGTCAGTGAGACATGCATTCCGTGGATGCATTTTTTTTAAAAAGCAGGTGAATTCATATCAGGCAGAGAAAACCTTAATTGATGTTAATTTCACCGTCACAAATTCCAGACTTAATTAATTACATTTTAAATTTTGCCAGCTGCCATGCTGGGGTTCTGGGTCAGTAGGCCAGCGACATTACCACATTACTACCCTCCTAATTCTCCCTCCTCCACCATTACAGTAAATCCAATTGTGAATTCAGTAGAAACTTCTTTACCCAGAGAATGCTGGTAATGTGATTGAGATATATGAGATCACACATGCCATGTGATGCATGGCATAGACTAATTTAGAAAGAAGCTGGATAAGTACAACAGCAGGAAAGAAATAAAACACATTGACAGGATAAGATGAAATAGGAAGGGGAGGTTTTTGTACAGATCATAAACACTGAGATCAACCAGTTGAGCTGAATGGTTGATTTCTGTGCTATAATTTTTATGTAATTTTTAACAGTCACGACATACTGGAGTAATGCACTGGAAATTAAGCCCCACTATTCCTGGAGTCATCACAGAAGTTAAAAGAACTGCACAAAATCCCCAAACTACCTGATTTTCTGACCTGAATTATTATAACAAATGGACCAGTTTTTATAGCAAATCACTGTTTATTACAGGTACTGCACTAAATTAAGTAAATGCTACAAATTAAAATTCTAAGCCTGTATCAACAGGCAGAAAGACATAAACATGGATAAACAGTACATGGGCAGAGGAAATATTGGGAAAACATTTTTGCAGTCTTTGTTCCCAACATCTGTTGGGTTGGTGTTGCTGTTCTGAAGGTTTCTCCTTGACCTTCGTATTTCCGAATGCTTCTGCTGGTTTGCAAAAGACATGATGTGGCCGGTTCACTTATGGGATATCTGTGACTTATCCACTTTAAATTCAGCACTTGGAGCATCTATTGAGGGAAAGATAAACTGGTTTTCTTCAGATTTAAGGTGGATTACTGCAGGGAACTGAGAGCGAGCGAGTGCATTTTGGCTGCTGCAGATCTATTAGTTTCTCTTCTGGTTTGATCAAACTTCTTTTTGTTTTACACTCGGTGTAACCAGTTCAGCTACCTGGCACCCAGTCACATGGTTGTTGGCAGGCAGAGGACCTTTATCATTGATACAGGGGCTTCCCAATTTACGAACATCTGACTTGCAAGCACTCGTACTTACAACGTGATACCACACATGGGTTTAATGTTCAAGATCTGACATGAGCATTTCCTGTATTTATAAACGGCTGCTTTCCACTGTTCTGCATTGTCTTCCGACTTGGGAACAAACTCCAGAATGGAACCCATTCGTAACCTGGGAACTGCCTGCAAATAGTTTTCAGTCCAATCAGCTTTAAAAAACCCATTGGCTGCAGTTCATCTATACATTGTTGGAACCCACAGCTACAGAAACTGTTCATTGTACACATAAAATTACTTACTTTCATACAGCCATCCCTATAAATTATTGGTTTTCAAAACAGTTCTTTCTCATTTTAGTCCACCATTTTACAAAGGCCAAACATCAGAAGATACAGTCTTTACAATACATAATGGGCTGGGGGAGGTGTGGAATGAGGGAACACAACCTGACTGTTGGACTGTAATAACTTGTAGCAAAGGTACTTTGCTTTACAGAGATACTTTACAAATGTCATTGCCAATGAATGGCTTAAGAAAGGACAGTGATGGAGCAGCTGTCCACCTCTGCCCTTTCTAACGTTCACTATTTTTGGTTTCTGATGTCAGGTATGAGGGTGAGTTCGTACAGGGGAAGTTCCAAGGAGTTGGTGTCTTCACCCGATGTGATGGGATGAAGTTTGAAGGAGAATTTAAAAATGGACGTGTTGAAGGATATGGTAAGGAGTGACCTACTCCATTAACTATTTGAGCTATGTTGGAAAAAACATTTGAGTAAAGGAGGCCCCATTCAACCCAATTCCATCTAACACAAATGGAAACAAAACAATGCTGGAAATAGCACATCAAGTTATATCTTCGAAAAAGAAACACAGTTAATAAAAAGGAGAGAGAAATTTCTACATTTTAACAGCATTAAGGGGTATGGGGACAATGCTGGAATATGGCACCGAGATACTATTAAATGGTGGATCAGGTTTGAAAGGCCAATGGCCTACTCCTGTTCCCAATTTCTATGTTGATATTTCTGGCCAATGATCCATCAGTTGTGATGAACGGTTATCATTGACCTGAAACATTACTTCTTTCACTCTCCTTAGATGCTGCTGAGTATTAGCTGAGTATTTCCAGCATTTTTTCTCTTTTAGTTCGGATTTCTAGTATCTACAGTATTTTAAATAGTTGTCTTCACTAGTGTGGTGATTTTGCATCAGCCTTACAATTATAATCTTTTGGGGTTAGGATATTTTCCATTTGCTTTCTGATAATCTTACAAGGCAGTGCCCCAGTGGGTGGCAGGTTCCTTGTTCAAGAAGCAATGAAAGGCTTTCCTGTGTTCTTTGGAGTTCTAGACATCATTGCGTCTGCGCTGGTCAAAGCTGCCATCTATTTCAATCCCATTTCCTAGCACTTGACCCTAACCTTGTATGCCTTGGCATTGCAAGTGTTCTTCTAAATAATACTTAAATGCTATAGGAGTTTCTGCCTCTACCACCCTGACAGACAGTGAGTTCCAGATTCCCACCACCCTCTGGATGAAAAAGCTTTTCCTCACATCTCCTCTAAACCTTCTGCCCCTTACTTTAAATCTATATCCCCCCCCCCCCCCCCCCAGTCATTGATCCTTCCACCAAGGGGAAAAGTTTCTACCTGTGTACCTCTTCTGTGCCCTTCATAATTTTATATGCCTCAATCATGTCCCTTCTCAATCTTTTCTGCTCGAAGGAGGACAATCCCAATCTGTGCAATCTCATTTCTTTGCTGGTAGAATGTAAAACAAGGAAACATGACCTTGAAAATCAGATGAGTTATTCAGGAGTGAAGTTGGGAAACAATTCTTTGTGCATTGGGTGATAAAGTGTGGAATTCTCCTGCAAAAAAGAGTAGATGCTAGCCCAGTTAATGCTTTTAAATCTGAAATCAATAGTGTGTTCCTTTTGTTCAATCAAGGGTTAAATAATATGGAGTGTGGGATACAGATCAACTATGATGTTAATGAATGGTGGAACAGACTTGAGGGCTGAATAGCCTCTTCCTGTTCCTATGATGCTAAGCTGCAGGATTTTAATTACTTTTTAAACCTTGTGCCTGCATGTCTGAGTCTAATTGACATTCTTTGCCTTCCTCTCAGGACTGTTGATGTTTCCTGATGGTTCGCACGGACACCCAAGAAATGAGGGCATCTTTGAGAACAACAGGCTGTCTAAACGGGAGAAGTGTCAAGCTGTGATCCAGAGAGCACAAGCAAGCGCGAAAAGTGCACGGGCTCTCTCCCTCTAACCATTTATCTGTGCTTAAAATCAATTAACGGTTTATCCTGTCTGCGTGGGAGAATGCAGAAATACTGTGTTTGCATTCACAACCGTTGAATTCCAAATTGTGATGATGCTGTGGTCTCGCTTTCGTTTCTATCCCAGCCTGGATAACAGTATTCTGGGCAGCCCAGCACATTTGGGAATGGATTCCATTTGCTGGCTTCCCAATCTGGAGCTCTGGTTCTTGAAGTCTGGATATCGCTGTCAGGCGGAAGACTTGAGCTACTGGCCACTACTATCTTTCCCACCCCCAAAATGCAGATTGCAAAGTGTGTTACCTGCAGTCTGGGCCAGGGGCAGGAGTGTGATGGGTCAAGGGAACAGGGGGTTTGGGAATTGACTAAAGGAAGATTTCCCTTAAGATGTCCCCGAGTACTTCATATCTCTGACTTGATGGTGACCCACCACAGCTCCAGCAGAAAGGATCATAATCCAACACCTGGAAGTCTCTGACAGCTTGGTTTTGTCAACTAACATACCTTCTGTGACACTGCAGCTCCAGGGGTGCTTCTGACCACTCCTCCCCTTCCACCGAACAAACATTGAGTCTTCAACTGATCAGTGAGTTTTCTATCATTGGACTTGTTCAAAATTGAGAAACATTAGGGAAAAAAAAAATTCCCCTGGCAGTACAGACTTGATGGACTAAAGGGCCTCATCTCTACTGTATGTTTCAATAATTCAATGAGGGTGACTAACCAGAGAACAATTAGCAAAAGAGCCGGAAGAAGACGTGGTATTTATTCTCTCAGCAAACTGCTGAGATCTGGAATTCTCTACTAGTATTAACTTTCTGGGAATTGTGCATATATACTCGAAGGAAAAGGATTTGTGAGGCTTTGCAGAAATGAGGGTGAAGTGCAGTGATTGGATAGCTCTTTCAGAAAGACAGTGCAGGCACAAATGGCTGAAAGAGTCACTGATTATGTCACGATTGCCTGATGGAGATCAGCTTATCCCATTAATCAAGGGCAACAACCCATACCGTCTTCACAATACAACATCTTATGTCCCAGTGTTTGGTTATGCGTGGGCTGTGTCGGTATGAATCATAGAGCCTTTCTTGTGACAGCAGGCAAAGTTTAAACTCTTCCCATCTCTGGTCATATTTGAAGTTGCTGCTGCTTGCATCTCTCTGGCATTCCGAGTTTGGATTATCCAACAGGCATCATTAAGAGCAGGCCTTTCCAAATATCCATCAGATGTGAGAAAGCTGTCAAAAATATAGAATGGAAACTCCAGGCTCGATGGGAAGCCTGCATTCTGAGTCAAGGTTTGGGAATTCAGCTGTTACTTCCACATTCTAGCTTCATTCATTCATCCTAACTATCCATTCCAGCTGTTGTTTTCCTCTGCCACTGGCTTATTTACATTTTTCTCTGCCTTCTGTCCATTAAGCTTGCCCTTTGCAACCTTGATCCTGTGCCCTATTGTCCTTTTACCATGGCATTCCTAAAAGCTTGGACAGATGTCTCATACACCTCAGTAATGCTTCAACTGCATCTTCAGTTCAATGAGCACACTTTGTATGTGTGTCTTGCTTTCTTAGATTGCAATGCCTTTAAACCTCCACCCCCAGGTTTTTTTTTATGTTAATCAATCCTAAACTGGAGGGGTCAGTTTTGAACCTGTTTCACCCTTCAACCCACCCTGAAACCTCTGACAAGAGTGAACGTAGGAGGTATGGTTAGTAAGTTTGCAGATGACACCAAAATTGGAGGTGTAGTTTACAGTGAAGAAGGTTATCTCTGAGCATAACGGGATCTTGATCAGATGGGCCAATGGGCCAAGGAGTGGCAGATGGAGTTTAATTTAGATAAACGTGAGGTGCTGCATTTTGGAAAGGCAAATCAGGGCAGGACTTATACATTTAATAGTAAGGTCCTGGGGAGTATTGCTGAACAGAGACCTTGGGGTGCAGGTTCATAATTCCTTGAAAGTGGAGGTGCAGAGAGGTAGGATAGTATTCTTGCCTTTATTGTTCAGTGCATTGAGTATAGGAGTTGGGAGGTCATGTTGCAGCTGATAGGACGTTTCTTAGGCCACTGTTGGAATATTGCACGCAATTCTAGTCTCCCTGCTATAGGAAGGATGGTGTGAAACTTGGAAGGAAAAGATTTACAAGGACGTTGCCAGGGTTGGAGTGTTTGAGCTATAGGGAGAGGCTGAATAGGCTGGGGCTATTATCTGTGGAGCATCAGAAGCTGAGGGGTGACTTTATAGAGGCTTATAAAATCATGAGGGACTTGGACAGGGTAAATAAACAAGGTCTTTTCCTTGGGCTGGGGGAGTCCAAAACTAGACGGCATAGGTTTAAGGTGAGGGGAAAAGATTTCAAAGGGACCTAAGGGCCATCTCTTTCACGCTGAGGGTGATGCATGAATGGAATGAGCTGCCAGAGGAAGTGGTGGGGGCTGGTACAATAGCAACATTTAAAAGGCGTCTGGATGGGTACATGCATTGGAAGGGTTTAGAGGAATATAGGCCAAATGTTGGCAAATGGGACTAGATTTATTTAGGATTTCTGGTCAGCATGGATGAGTTGCACCGAGGGCCTGTTTCTATGCTGTACATCTCTATGTTCTGTAGTTGTGTTTTGAAAACTTATCAGTGGTACGAATTCGAGCTTGTGTGAAACCGTGCAAATTGTCAACGTTATTCATTGAGCTTTGAGTAGTCAAAATGTTGGAAAGTTGCTGCATGGTGGTCCAGAGGGAAACGATGAAAGGAGAACGGTGCCCTCAGTATTAGGCATGGCTACCACCCTCAGTGATACCACTTGTTCACATCTGCCTGATTTATTCGTGCGATTATTGGATCCTCACTGAGTTCTACAGTGAAGTCCTTTAAATATTATTTTCAGAGGAAATATCTTGGATGAAATGAAAACCCACATGGAACCCATCAAAGAAGCAAGCACTTCATGTTCAATGTCCCCATTTGAGCTACCTCTTTCAGAAAAATAATCCTGCTATTAGGTTGAAAATAAAAACAGATTTAACAAAATAAGATGAAAGATTTTGTCCCTCAAAATCAAATCCAAACTCCTACCCCATAACATGCATTGTAACGAAGAGCAAAGTGGCCTTTTCAACCATCACATAAAACATAATTATTTAATTAAATACATATATCCTCATTTCAAGAACAATCAATTCTGCATAAACCATATCCCAATACAATCCTATCCCAATACAATCCTATCCCAATACAATC